GGATTGCAGTGCAGCTTCTTGCCACTAGGCCACCAGAGCTCCCCTATACCCTGTTTTTCTTAATAATAGAGTCCAGCTTCCCAAATAATCTTCTCAGCATACAGATGAAATAGGTAGAAAGGATTCACCCCTGACAAACACCTTTCCGAATTTTAAACCATGCAGTGTTCCCTCGCTTATTTGCATGACAGCCTCTTGGTCTGGGAATAGAGTTTGCTGTAGAGTCAGAACCACCTCCTAGCTGACCCTCCTGAGGGTTTGTTGGAAGCTGTATCTTGCATGGGAAGAGACTGCCCATCTCTCTCTGGATTTAGACTGCTAGGGAGGTGCCACGTTTCAGTTAGCAGTGCCACAGCTCCCTATGGACTATGCCACCAGACCTTTCTTGGGCACACGCTGCTCTCTTGACCCGACATGGTTAGTTACTCTTGAGGAGTGATTCTGTGGAGTTACAGACCGAGTATACCTACTGTTTGGTTGAAAGTTGAGCTACAGTGTGAGTTTTATTTCAGTATGTTTTTCTTGGTCAGTAACCACTTAGGTTGTAGGTAACCTTACATTTGAAGAATGGAACCCAAGTGCCCATTTAGGTGAATGGATGGGTTAAGGTATGCAACCCCTAGGCTGCAGATTCACCTTGGCTATTTTATGGCTAGATAATTCGACTTAACGCAGGCTAGGCTTCCTTGCACACAAGTCCGGTTCATTGCTTTGTTCCTTTTCCTCCTTGCGGCTTCTTTCCCACCAACCCACAATTCCGGCTGCCAACATTCTCTTGCAGAAGAGATGTGAGAGTGAGAGAGAGGAAGCTACGCTTGGAAAGAAGATTGCTTTGTACTTTATTTACAACAGAATATAAGAAAAAGTAAGTTATTAACAATAATAAATAACTGGAGGGGGAACCACAAAACAGCCATAAATTGACACAGAAGGATGGCATGTGTGATGACCGAATTTTGTTTGCTTTGCTTCGTGGTCTCTAACACTGTGCGTTCAAAACGTGGTCCTTCAGCAGTGGCAGTGGTATGTTGACTAATTCAACCAACCAAGATCCCAGCTTGACATGTAAACACTAAATGTTACACTTGAAGCCACATAAAACTGGCATAGGACTCAAAGAACTTGTTGGTGATATATAAAAAAGTGGAGACTTGCAGTCAAACAGACATGCTTTCCATTTGAAGCAAAAAACATCGAGATATTTGTCCTAAAGCATTTAACAACAAAATTACATTTAGTCATGGCATCTGAAAAGTTCTCAGTATGTTCACATTCTCTTATTGCACTAATTTCTAAAAAGCTTAAACATATTTTAAACGCAAACAGCTTGGTTTGAAGGAAGAACACAGAAGGATCTGATAGACTTTGCCGCAGCATGCCAATGCTGTGCTGGTTTTAACTAGTTGATTTTCATGATCAAATTGTAGTCACTGGACAATTTTTTTTGAAAACAAATGTCAAGAACTGTGTTTCAGATTGCAGATTGTCACCTAGCCTACCGAATCAGAAGACCAGAAAGAGAACGGGAACTATTTAGACAATTCCTGTCCATTGGATTACCTGATTATACAGTATTTGTATATTACACTTTGGCCCTTCTCTAAAGCAAAATTTGTGTTGATCCAAGCTAGTCAGTGACCTATTACCGTGCTGTATCTGAGCCATGAGGTGCTAAGGAAAGCAGAACTTAAAAAAGACATATAAATACACTAGCCCTAGATGTTCACAGAAAAATGATTTCTTGAGAGTGTCAGAATACTCTCTCTAGGTCTGTTTATTAAAGTGCCTTGAAAGAAAAGCATATGATTTTTCAAGGGGGTTTACTGTTTTGTTTTGTAAGTATCTGCATGATACACCCCAACTGTGCTACTTAGAGGAGTATTATCACACCCCCAAAACACGGCTAGTGAATACCTCCAGATAGATGAAAACCATTACCCCCACCCAGACATGCAAAACCATAACAGAAGAGTTCCTAAATGAGTCCATCAATGAGACCACAGTTGTTTTAGTTCTAACCGTGCTGAGAAATGTCACAGCTTCCTATCATCAGGCTTGCTCCGCTTCGTTTCATAGCCCCAAAGAAGGAAAAGGAAACGATCTTCAGAGCTGATTTCTGACAGGCACGTCCAGTTGAGATAACAAGGTCCTCTCATCCTAGGGAACAACTTGCGGTTACAGTCAACGGGAAGCACAGGGACACTTTGCAGTTGAAATCCACCCAAACGTGATGTGGTTTATGGTCATTTGACGGTTTCCACTAGCATCAGAGATGAAGGTGTGATGAACATACGTATTATTCTATAGATTCTTCATTTTAATCTATCAGAGACTTAAAATTAATGACATCTGATCCACTATGCTATATTTTTTATATATATATACAGGTATAATACAATTTTGGTGAACAAAGTTGAAGGTTTCCACATTGCAGACAGAGGCACTGAGTTAAGGATTCTCTTTTCCTCCAAACATGCTTATGAATTCAGGTTTCTGCTTTTTTTTTCTTCTTCTGTATTTCCATCATGCAGCCACTTAATTTCCATCCTTGTGAGAATTACTAATGTTCTATATACATCACAGGCGTGTATCTCACAATCGGTCACAAATTCCTATGTGGAGAATGGGTAATGACACTTGAAAACCAAGGTATAGGAAATGCTGAAGTCATTTCTGCCTTGCAGTGATGCGATTAAATATTCAGAGAAACTCAAGGAACATCTACATCCTCTTTCTTTTTGTTAGTGCACAAATAACACATTTAGACGGAGAAACGGAACACATGTTAGGAGCACACACATTTGTTGACAAAGAACCACACCATCACGGGGAAGCTTTGCAACTGATGACTGTGGTATTACACTGGCTGTAAAAGAAATGCAGTTCGCAGGAGGAAATCACAGCTTAGCTTTCTAATGTAGAATGACAGACCTTGAGAGCAGAAGCGACTTTATGAAAAAGGAACTTGGAAAAAATAACCCAGCAATGGAAAAAAACTAAGTGTCCAATGTTATTAATAAACTATATAAAATACATTGGTTCTATGTGAAAATCGTGATCCCATCCCCAACAATTTCAGCTTGCAAATGGTAAGCAAATACATATACTATCTAAGCGTCTTCTGAAAGTAGAATTTTGCTTCCTAAACTACACGTTTAAACTGAACACTCCCATTTAGTATCACTTGTGTGGAGAGGGAGCCATTTAGAAGTCCCAGGGGTTTGATAAAAGGTTACATTTTCCCACAAGCAAAAATCATGCTACCATACCATGCAAAGATGTCTCACTACAACGCTATCAGTCTTAAGAAAGAGATGAACTGTGGATCTACACTGTTTGCATTTGGTTTCCTCTTGGGTCTGTTAATTTTCTTTTTTAAAAAATATATGCTAAATGCCAACTTATAAAGAAATCCTGACAGTCTGCCTTGTGACTTGGAACACATCGGTGCTGGGCTCATCGGCCAGCATATGCACCTTGGGAGAGTTATCAGCCTGAAAGGCGTTTCCAGGTTGTGGTGCTGGGCACTGAGAGAAGCAGGCAGGGGCCACTGGCTGAGATAAAGCTCCTTGGCCTGTTTTGTTTTCTTTAGGATCTGTGTTTGGGGACTGGCCCTTTCCTGAGGTCAGAGGTGATGGTCAGGAAGGCCAGCTAGGGCTCAGGTCTTGTGTTACCAATGACCTTGTCCTCTTCCTCCCCTGAAGAAGAACAGGAAATGGAACAAGATATAGGAAACAGGAAATGCAAGAGACTTCCTTTGTCCTTCCTTCGATGGTTAAAGGCAGTGAGGTATGAAGGTAGCAGATTTTTCTCCTTAGACGGCAGGAGAAGTCGCTCTGCTCACTTGGTGGGTGATCTTGCCTCCGGCCCACCTGTGCTCTCATCCTGCATCCCTATGACGTGCCAAAAAACTAGACATGAGCCGCATCTGTTGTCATGGCTCCTTTTACCTCTGCAAAGAGGTTTGCTAGCATGACCTGTGGCATTCTCCCCATTTGGCTTTCAAAGAAGAAGCAAGAGAATGACAGTCTTTTCTAAGGTCCAGGTTTGGCCAATCTACTCCAGGGACGTTTGGATGAGACTAAGAGTAAAGCAGGGAGGGGCGATGGTTCTCTAATAGTTGGAGCACCTGATGGCCCGACAGTTTTCAAGTCCAGTTAGCTTACTCTGTCCTCAAACGTCTTTGAAAGGGCAAACAGGCCATGAATTCTACCCAAGTAATTGCAGATTCTGAGACTATTAACAGATGATGGAAATTGACAAGTCAAGGTTTGTTGGTACCTGCAGAGAAAAAGAGACGTTTGCTTCACGTGGGCATCTTGATCCTCAAGTAAGCCATTCCTAAACCAGTCAGTTATGCTCACATTCGTCCATGCAATTAAAGGTTTCTGAAGCTGTGAGGACCCAGAGGGGAGAGTTATTAAAAGACAGAAACAAGTGGAATCTTTATTAAATTCTGTGAAAGGTATAAATCTGTTATTATTAATTGCACTTGGAGCCTCTATAGATTGACAATTAAAATTTCTCCAAAATTTAAAGAGTTAGTTAGGCCCCAAATCCTGAGTCAGACTAACCAAAGTAGGAATCTCAGTTAACTGTTGGTATTCAAGTAAAGGTGATCACCAGTTCAAATTTAACAGTTGGTTATGCTATGCCTGAGAATATTTTTTTTGAGAATTTCAGGTTTGATGGGAGGAAATTGATTCACACTATTTTACCACACCTTTGTCACAAAGTGGTGCAAAATTTTTCATATGTTTCTACTTGAAGTCCAAATGCCCCATAACAAGACAGGTTTACGGATGGAGAGTCTGTCTGTCCTTTCCAAGTCTTAACATCTTACATCTACTATGATGCTGTGCAGCACACGGAGGCATTCAGATTATATGTGAAATGACTCAACCACATGCAGACCCAGACAGCGAAGGAACACGTGTGAGTGACAAAGCAGTCCTCTTCACTATCAGAAGATTCTTAAAACAAAGCAAAACAACCCCAAATGAACATAGAAAACCCCATTGAACTATCCCTAGGACGAGTTACTCGGACTTGGGCCGACATGGCCTTTCTGAGGCGGGCATGCCAGGCAAATTCAGGGTGGCTTTTTTCTCAGGGTCTGGAAGCGTGAGAGTTTCTGGGGCAGACTTTTTCCGGGGCCGATCTTTGGGGACTGACAGAAATTCTGGGGCATCTGTAGAGAGGGGTGTGGACGGAGCGCTGGACGGGGCACTGCGGACGGAAGAAGGCAGCAATGGGATGCCGGAGATAGAAATTGCGGGTGGGAAAACGCCAATTTTCTTGTTGGTGGCTTCCTGAGTGGCTCGTTCAAACTCTCGGACTTCATCCATTGTCATGTCTTCAAAGGAGGGGGAAGGAGAAAAAAAATTGCAGTTATTTACAAGAGATGGAAATAGATTCAACACTATGCCTGCTTTTTGAGGAAAAGGAGGGAGAAATATCTTAAAGGGTCCTGTCCAGACTTCCAACCCAAAGGATCATTTAAATGTGAAATCTACTTGCTCTTTTTGAGGCAAAGCCCTGAAATGCAACACTCCTGCGTAGGTAACCAAGACTAGCTACTACTTTTCAATAGCATTTAAAGTAATTTGAGAGGAAAAAACCCCCACACATTTTGAGCAAGGACCTCACAGGAGAATACAGAAACAGTCCAAGGGACCACAAGGCTTGTGTGTGTGTGTGTGCTGTGCTGTGTGCATGCATGAATGTTTTATGTGCCATGTGCATGCATGCTGTGTCTGGACTGTGTGCGTGTATGCAGTATGTGCTGTATGCATGCATGCTCTATGTGCCATGTGTGTTGTGTCTGGACTGTGTGTGAACGTGCCATGTGCATGCCAGCTTATTACTGTCGTTTTGGAGGATACATGGAAGTTAGTTGTAGGCTTCATTATCTCATCCGTAAAGTACTAATGTAATCAGTGGTGCTGAGATGAGACATACAAAAGCACAGGACCACCTTTATGGGGCAAACAGGTAAATCATGAGAATTCTTATCCTATTTTCCTACTCAATAAGTTGGGGTTTTTTTTAGACACCATTCATATTATGGATATTGGTTTCCTGACTATATATCCATCCTGACTGATACACCCTAATTCATCTGACTTGGCTTTTAAATAAAGAAAGCAACAACAACAATAAATGTTACAAATTTTCCCTATGGTCAAGAAAAGAAAACCACGTATTAAGGAACATTCAGAGAAAAAGAACAGAGAATCAAAGAGAAGATAATTTAATGAGTAAAGGTATTATTTTTTAAAAAAAGACATTATTTGGAATTCAACAAATAAATACAATGATGACTCATTCAACAGGCACTGCCGAATAATGCAGATTCTCTGGGTGCTGGAAATACCAAGTGAGACAGTGAAAAAACAGGAGCTTAACTGAAATCTTTCTCTCAGACACCTAATATATTCCATTCTCAAGGCCACGTGGGGAAGTCAATGGTTTGAATCCATCAGCTGCCCTCTGAGAGAAAGAAGGAGTCTCGTTCCCATAAGGATTTACAGCCTGGGAAAGCCGGAGGAGGGTCCCCGTGAGCTGGAATCAGCTTTTGGGCAATGGGAATGGACGACTCTATACTTACTATCAGAATATACTAGAAGTGTGTATACTGCAACGGTGCACTGTTCTATCTGAGACAGGGGGGACTTCTTCCTTGGAGAAAAACCATATACTTTTTTAAAAAGATAATATTAATTAATTAATTAATTCATTCATTCATTCTTTTTATGTGTGTACTGTCAAATTGGATCTGACTCGTACAGGAGGCGATTGTTCCTCCTCCTTCAGCAGAGCATCTGGTGGATTTGAACCACGCACCTCTGGGATTGCAGTGCAGTTTCCTGCCACTAGGCCAGCCACCAGAGCTCCCCTAAAACCATATACTTTTTTTTTAACCATATACTTTTTATAGTTTAATGTCTCTTCACTCATTCTCAAGGATCCTGCTGTTAACGAATATTATTTGCTCTTTTTCTGGCTATCCCTGGTATCCTTTGCCGTTTTCATTTTCTGGGACCAGGAAGCCCAGACAACTGGACTACTTAGAGGAAGTACAGGACCTCTACTAAGGAGCCCATGCCTGAGTAAGTGCTGAAACTGCCATCCATAAATTTCCTCCATCTACTGTAGGTTCATAGGGTCGCTATGAGACATCTATGACTCGACGACACTTAACAACAACTGTAGCTTCAATGTTTCTTGTTCACTGCCAGGTACTCAGTGGTCAGAACTTCACTAGATGGTACTGCCCTGGTAAACTCGTTGGAAATAATACCTTGGAAATACTAATTTTGGAATTAATCTTCAGTGTTACTCATTAAGATCACAATGTGTTAACTAGCAAATCATAAGGATATTGCATAAAACAAAATACCTAAAGAAGACTTCATTAATATTTTTAGAAAAAATTTTATTATTGTGTGTGTGTGTGTGTGTGTACACTGTCAAATTGGATCTGACTGGTACAGGAGGAGATTGTCCCTCCTTCTCCAGCAGAGTATCTGGTGGATTCAAACCGCTTGCCTCTGGGATTGCAGTGCAGCTTCTTGCTAGTAGGCCACCAGAGTTCCTCATTAATATTTTAATATTAAAATTTTAAGCTAGAGAAGAAGTTTTCATAAAGGAAATGAAAAATGATGGCTTAACAGTACAACTATTAAAATACCTAAAAGAGAACATTTAATCAGAAAGAAAATTGATATAGTCTGTAACACTCCAGTGAGTTGGGTATGTTTCTGTGACTGCCCATGGATTAACACTGAAAAGAGCAACTTTGTAAACGAGTTGGCCAGATTCTCTTCCCCAAGTGTCCGGCAGGGGGCAGAAATGACCCAAGCTAGTCTCTTTGCAATCCCTTCCTTGAAGGCTTTAAAATCACTTAAAGGAGGCAGTTGTTTCCTTATTGCTGTGTGCATGGACGCTAATTTTGCATAATTTCAATGTAATCTGTCCTTGCTCAAGTTAATGATTTAAACTTGATTCCGCACCCAGGCAGGGTTTAATTTGTGGACAGCAGCCTCTTGATTTGAACTATTTTTCATCACATTGGTGCTGGGAAAATAAGTGATCTCCAATTTCAAGGGGTGTGTG